TGGGAGGAACTCCCCGAGATGACAACATTGCCAACTCAAGGAGTTAGGGTACCACTCACTCGCCTCTCACATCTTCCTTTCCAACGACTTTTCCTTTTTTTTAATTTCATAATAAAGTGTTTTCATCCTCCTCCTCCCTTGTTGCTCATCCATCGAATGAATAAGAAACCTCTTCAGGATTGACTCAAAGGTGGGGCCAATGCTGTCAATCCTTCCAAGGTTTCCCTTCCAACGTGACAGAGGAGTTCAAGTAAGAATCGAGATAGGAGAAACTCTTCATGAACAAAACAACAGAGTTCTCATAACTCAAAATCAAAAAGTAAATCGTCGAAAACAAAGACACAGAACTTCTCTCTCTCAATGAACCTCTCAACCTCTAAACTCTCTCCTACACTTTCTCTCATACCTAACACCTTCTCATGGTTGGACAACTGCAGAACAACAGAAAACTGCCCGAAGGCTTTCAACTTTTTATTAATTTCTAACATAACAAATCAAAATCAACTAGATCTTCTCATCTGGCACTTCTACATCCAATGAACGTAATGTCTCATCAGGTAAGGTGCACAGGTGGGGCCAATGACCAAATCTTCAAAGATATCATTTCGAATGATTTCGAAGAAACACATGATAGAAGCTAACTGACCGAGAAAAGCTGTTGAAGAGGCCTTCCGCAGTTTCTTGGAAGGACTATAGTGAGCAAAATGAAAAATACGCTTATTGGGTAGTCCCGTAGACGTTAATGAGGAAAAGACACAGGTGGAGAATGATCAAACTGTCGGATGGGTTGATGATCCATCTTACTCAACTATCTCATAAACAAGAGCTTTTCATCGACTCATTCTGAATTCACACCCTTTCGAACTAACAGATACTGCAACTCTCTTACGATCTTAGAACCTCCCATAACAGCACAAAGGAATGAAGTCTCTTCAGTCGACAAGATTTAGCGGTTGGTGCTTTGGGTCAACAGGTTGAATCCACTAACACTTCATACATACAAAAACCTTCTTCCGTATCATCTGAACAACCTTATTTTACATACATCTAGATATGCAAGGGAAATCACAGAGGGAACACTGCGGCTATGGAATTGAAAGCGGGTAGAAGCTCGTTCAACAACTGTCAACGCGTTATCCATCAGTATGGGAAAGGAAACGAGGATCTCACAACTCTCCACACTCATTCAAACTCTTGAAGATCTTACTTCAGCTCAACATATAACATCAACAACAAACAAAATAAAAAACAAACGAAAACTTGAGAAAACGGTCGAAGTCAATTCAATCAATGAGTTTGCGAATGAAAACGAAAAGAGAAGGAGACAGGAAGACGAAAGAGAACAAACTACAAAACTACGAATGATGAACTAATCCACTTTTATCATGGATATGGTGAGGGTGATCTTGGAATGAAAAGAAACAACAAGAGATGAACGTTCATGACTCTCGTGTGCCATTGAGATTTCCAATTTTGAAAAGGAACAAGTGTCGTCATATACACCCGTACACCCCAAGTACTGAATAGTAATAAGCGTTCTTATAACTCAAAATCAAAAAGTAAATCGTCGAAAACAAAGACACAGAACTTCTCTCTCTCTCAATGAACCTCTCAACCTCGGAACTCTCTCGTACACGTTCTCATAGATCTATACAGTGTATGGAAACCTCTTATACCTAACACTTTCTCAGGGTTTGACTACCACAGAAGAAGAGAAAGCTGCTCGAAAGCTATCAACCTTCTGCCAGTCATTCAGAAACACAGAGATCTTTCCATGAATTTCGCTCTCTTCCCCCCTTCTCTCCATCACCTTTTTATGATTTTCATCTGAACTGCCATTTCACCGAAAACGTCTCTCACACTCTCTACTCTCGAGCATCTATCTTTTTCGAAAAATACAAAACAGTCTATGAAAGCATTCCAGTTACTGGTCGAAGTCGAAATGAGAAGAAACGGGTCTTATGATCACATGGCAACTAATCCAATCAATAACTGTTCAATCAATTCAGCTATGAGTCCGATAGACAAGTAATATCAAAGGAAGCAATTCACAACAATCCATATCAATCCTTGTCACAGAGAGGAAGGCACAGTCATTAGAGTACAAGGGATGGAACGAGCAGAGAAAGACATAAAGGGATGAGAAGCAACAACATAAAATATGAAAAACAACTGAAATTTTCGTAAAATTTTTTAAAAAATTCGAATTTTTAGAACGCCCTAAAGAGCACCACAGTCAGAGAGAAAAAAGCGCGTGCAGGGACCCACAAAAAAAAACCTTTAATTTTAATATTTGTACTCCAATGAAGCTTATTCTATGTTTTTTTTAAAATTTCATATGATTAAATAGATGTCTTGTATATTAAAATAGTTTTTTCTTTCAGCCATCATTCCTCCCTGACGAAAAAGAACCGGCAAATAGCAAATGAGAGAAAGGAAGTTTTATATTGTCATTGTATTATGAATTGTATTAATCTTTCAAATAAAACTTTTATATTCATCATGATTATTTTTTACCAAAAAAAATTAAAAAAAGGGAAATTGAAAAAAATTTGAAAATAGCGGAACTAGATAACAGTTTCATGGAGGGATTTATATGCAAATACAAAAAGCTTTGAACATGGATTAGCATTAAGTTATTAGCATGTAGAGTTGAAAAGAAAATTTTCGAGAGAAGAAGTAAACTAAAATTAAATCATTAATCGAAATGATCTCCACCTGCAACGTTTGTTCCAAAACCATCAAAAAAGCTCAGATGAATCGTCATCTCCGCACCATTCATAAATGGAGCGAAGAGCAGATGATTCAGAAGAGAAATGAAGAGAAGTTGCGGTGCGAAACCCATCAAGAAAAGTTTGAATGTAGCTGCGGTTTAATTTTATTTACCAGGCTGGGCTTTCAGCTGTACTTCTGGAAACGAAACAAAACATTTTCGAGAAAAATTTTTATTAGAACAGCAGAAAGTATTATTCATCAACGAATAAACTAATGTTTTTCCGAACATCGTCGAAGTATTGGAGTAAGTCATCTGTCTTATTAATTCTATCAAAAACCAGTTTAGTCTTGTCAAATTTAGGCTTATGGTGATCGAGGAAGAAGACAATCGATCTTTCGAAAACAGACGAGAAGTTGGATCTAATTAAAAATTCTTTTGATATTTTGATCCTTTCGTCGAGAGTACCAAGAATTGCACTAGAATCAGCAAGGAGGTATTATGGAAAAAAAATTGAATGAATTACTTGATTTGTTTCGACATTCTCACGCCATCGTGAATATCTCTTACATCATTTAATCGCTTTCCAGTTATGATGAAGTCCAGAATAAACGGATTCAGCGCACTGTTGAATCCCATGTTTGCCGTGTGATGGTCAGCCAGCATGAGAATAGAATAAACGGATAACATTTCCACGACAGATTTTGAATATCGTTGAAGAGCTTCCGGCTCAGTCAGTTCCAGGAATTTGAGAGTTTGGAAACTTGGTATCTCTCTACTTGCTATGTAAATTATCCTTTTTGAGAATGATTCGTTGTTAATAAACTGGATCTCAGCCCCCATTCTCAGAGCCTCTAGAAAAGTATATATGAACAACTCTTTGATGTCAATGTCAAGACGAGTATCTGAAGGTTACATGATTGATAATTTTAAACTGAAAGCCAAACTTACAAGATGATCTGTCTCCCGCACCGTGATGAGTTTTCACAAAGAATCGACAAATGGTTGCTCCGTCGTCAACAAGACAAAGACAGCCGGCGCGAGAACCATCTTCACGAGAACCGAAAGTCACATTACATTTCTCGCCATAGACTTTGGTGAAGTGAGATCTACAAGAACTCTAAATGTCGACAATAACAATTTGAAAAAATGCTTGATCACGACTCACCCTGATTTCTTGAACACCGCGATTAAAGTATGTATAGAACTTTTTTTCTATAGCAAACCTTCTCGTTCCCAGACTAGGATAGGCCACGAAGAAAAGTGATCGCACCAGGACATCGATCAGCCCTTTAGCATCCAGATGTATCGATTTCCTAAGTTCATCTCCGTGTGATCGTCCGAAGGCTTCTTCACAATTCAACAGAGCTGTCCATATCGAAAGTTTTGAATGTTTCTGAAAGGTTGAAGAGACTTAGTGGGGGGGGACTAAAACTTAGGCTTAAACTTGAAAACTTACAGCAATAACTTTATCCAGGTGGTGCAATCCGATTTGGGCAAGCTGGCTATTTGCATCAAAGTCGAAAATCCTGCGACCATCCGCGAAAAACAAATCGAGGTTTTCACTTTTGATATATAATATCGATGCTACCTGTTCTTCAAGCTCAGACAATAAAGACTAAATTGATTCTTTGAAATACTATATGATCAGTAATTATAAAATACCTGCTCGTCCAGAACCAATGGAAACTCATCGTGTACTACTTCTTCGTTATCAGTCAGTGAGATAAATAACTGCATTTTATTCCAAAACGTCTAAAACAAGAAAAATATAAAAATTGTAAAAAGAAGCATAAGTATAATCGATTAAAGTTACAAGGATGAAACGTTGCCACACAATCCTCACTAAAACTCGGCCCCAGCGTGGACCAAGCTATTCGTGTGCACTTAGTGCGTTACCATTTTACCGGTTGCGCGATTGCGTTGTGCTCCGCGTGCGCCTAGTTCAACTAGGGCAAACGTGGGATTGTGGTCTGCTCTCATTTGTTCTACAATCACGTGAAAGTAGGGAAGAATTTTCTTTTTTCCAAACTTCAACGACTGATGTTTTTTTTCATTTTCTCTCTCTCTCTCTTCTAATAAATTTTTGTTGGTTACTAATTTTTTAGTAACTGAGAGAAACGAGCATTGAGCTCATTGTCATAGAGATAGATGTTATCTCTAGGTTTAACTAGAAAACGGGTCCAAAAGTCCACGGAGGTACTGTACTCTTTTCACATCGCTCTCTTTTAGCCATTTCACTCCAACACCCTTCTATGCTTTTCATTTCACACTATCACCTCTCGAGCATCCTCTTCGTAACATACAAGACAACCTATGGAAGCATCTTAATAACTATAAAGATTGAAAACATGATGAGAGTATGATCATTGGAAGAAGATGAATTAGAAACAGCTTGGGAGAAAAAGATATGAGCTTCAGAAGATTTCGGACGCTTCGCGGTTCGTTGCGTTGAACTTAGAACAACGCTCCAATGAACTCGGTCCATTTCTGGAACATTGATAGAAATTTTATAAATTAAGTTTTGTTTTTCTGTTTCTGCGAAGCACTAGTCGAGCTGAGAACTTCCTCTGCAGGACTGTTTCTACTCCTCCTCCACTTTTTGAAACCGTTCTGGGCAACTTGGGAGAAATGCAATTTTCCGATGCATTCTTCGTAGTTAGTTGTTGTAGTCTGAGCTCACCCTTTTTTCTCCGTTTTCATAGACTTCTCTCTATTACTCCTACTATGGTTAACTAACAGGTTATCGATAGATTTCTTGTTTTAGTTCTTATGGCGTTTATCCTGTGCAATTTTAAAACTCTTTCTTCTTCTTTCTCATTATTCACCTCTTTATCAGCCCATTCCTTCATTCTTATAATTTTGTTTTTCATTTTCTTTCTATCAAGTTGAGAGAAAAAAGAGATCTTCATTTTCGAATGAAGAAATGAAAACCCGGTTGTTCCGTTTTAAAAAGGAAGTTCAACTGAGGTGACAGCTCGCAATCTTTATTGTTTCATTTCTTTTTTGATATCTTGTTTCCGTGTTCACACTTTTTGGTTTCAGTTTCTAATGCTCTTTCCCAATATAATATGCGCTTCTTGTTTCATCAATGTTCTCGAGATTATTCGGCGGCGATCTCGGGTGCTCATGGCAAGAAAACTTTGACAATGAGGTCAACAAAGTTATTTTGCGAAAACCATGTCTGAATTCCAGCATTGCCTACTTCTATGTTTACTCATTCGGTTCAGCTTCCAATGCTCTTTCCTTTGATCGTATGCAATTTCTACTTTTTTTCTCCAAACATTTCTAAAACCTAACCGCCCTTTGCCTGAGTTCTATGTTCCAAATTTTCTATGTTATGTAGTCACGTTATCATGGAGACAGATGAAGCATCTCTTCATCGTTTGGTTTCGTTTCTTTGCTATTCCCGTGTGAGATTATTCGTTGTCTCTTTGATTTTCATGTCCTGCTGAATTACTTAGTTCAGCTATTCTACTCGTTTGTCTCTTATGTCATTCTATACCTAGCACTTACAGTTGTTTTTACTGTTTCAACATTTAATTCTACCGTTCTGGACGGTTTTGAGTAGAATGCAACCGTTCTGGACGGTTTGGGTGGAACGCAACCGTTCTGGACGGTGAGGAATCGAATGGAACCTTTCGATGCTCTTCGGATGAAGCCCGGATGAGTCCAGGCTCCATCCCTGGCTTGGGAGCTGATGAGCTTTTCCCATCTCTCTGGAGGACCTCCAGAAAAAGAGGAGTGGAGTTCATCGACTCACACCGCCAACTGACGTGATTTGGCTGCTCCACGGCTTATATACCGCCGCGATTACGCGCCACGTGAAAATGATTTTTACGTGAAAATAAAATGACCCGGTTGTTCTCTACACTCCACTCTAAATTTCACTTCAGATCACGTGAAAAGCAGAATTCATAGCAGACTTCGTATGTCGGCTAGCAACATGTGCTCCACTGCCAATGGTTGATTCGAATCAATCAATAAATAAAAAAAATCAATTATTTATATTTCTTATTTTATAATTTTGAAGATTCTCTTCTTGGTTTATTTCAATTTTCTTTTGTCTTAGAAGGGTTTCGGTTGAGTTGAGAGGTTTTCATTTTGGAACAAAAAAATGAAAACCCCGTTGTTCTCTTGTACAAAGGAGTTCAACTGAGTTCTTGAAAGACTGAAGTCTCTCAGTGGGTTCTCATTATCATCTGTGCTTGTCTAAGATTTGTTTTTTCTTTCGTTTCTGATACCTCATCATACAGGTCTTCTTCTGTTTTCACATCCTTCTATGAATGTTTCTCTTACTGTAGCACCTGTATATCCTCTTGCTGTGAAAGAGTAAAGGGAATAGTGATTATGATTTTTTATTATTTTTCATATCAGGAAAATCTTTAAGAAGCAGCGTTCCATTGAGGCCAGCAGTTGTGGGTAGTGTTGAATCCAGTGGCACTCATACAGCACCTGAAGCACACAGT